CGCGGCGCTCCTCCGCCCGCGGCGCGGCGCCGCCCGGCAGCGCTGAGGGCCCGCCGCGCGCCCCCCGCCCCTCAGCCCTCCGCCGCCTCGGCCGGGCCCGGCCCGCTCCCGGCCCCGCTCCGAGCCGAGCCCCCGCCCGGCGCTGACCTGCGGCTGCGGGGGCGAAACGCCGTGCGAAGGGGCTCGGGGCGCGGCTGGCGGCTCGGCGTGCTGAGGAGCTGCCCCCCTTCTCCGCTCCCTCGGTGTGTCCGGACAGTATGCTGGAGCTGGCGTAAAATGGCGGCCGCTCGAGCGCTCACGCCGCTGCTGGCACCAACCCCAGCCCCTTCCACTCGGCTCGGGGGGGCGGGGGGGGTGGGGGGGGAAGCGAGGAGGAGGCGCCGCGCGCGCTGGCGCAGCCCCAAACCCGGGGTCTCCCAGGCAGCTCCGCAAGGGTTATCGCCTCGCCCCGCCCGCCGGGCTGCCCGCGCGCGCGCGCGCCCGCCCCGCCGTCCCCTCCCTCCCCCGCGCGCCCCGCGGAGCGCCGCCCCCTCCCGCCCAGGCGGGCGCACGCGTAGACTGCGCGCTGCCGAGAGGGGAGGCGGCGGCGGGACGCGCCGAGACGGGGGTCGGCGGGGCGCTCCCGGCGTCTTCCGTACCTCCCTTGCACCTGTGCGGGAAGCGCTCGGAAAGAAGGAAAAAAAATAAAATAAAATAAAAATAGTGAAAAAGGCGGCGCGTGACGGAGCGCCGAGCCGGGCGGGATACGATTGGGTGAGCGGCCGTTCCCACGGTGCGCAGGTGGCACAAAGGGGAGCGCCGCGGCCGGAGGCGGGGAGTCCCGGCCCGCGGCGGGGGACGGAGAAGACAAAGCCACGCAGACAAAGGGAGGGGAGAGCGGCGCTTTGTGTGGCTGCCGGCCAGCCCGCAGCCCGGCATCCAGCCCGCGGCGGCCAACGGGGAGGCGGCGCGCTCCGTCCCCTCAGGAGCGCGACCCGGAGCCGCCCCGCCTCAGGAGGGCACCGGTCCACCGGACCATCCCGCCCTCAGGCGGCTGTCCCCGCATCACCGCGCGCCCCGCCTCGGGCTCCCTGTCAGCCCCCTCGGGCGGGCTCCTCCGCTCGCCTCGCGCCGCCCGGTCCTCCAACGGCCGCTCCTCAGAGCCGGGAGCTCCCCGAGAGGAGCCCCGCGGGCACCGCCGTTACTCGGAGAGGCGAGGCCGTGAAATGCGGTGTCACCGGGCCCATCAGAACGCGTGCTCGTTTCGCATTTTACTTCCTAATGTCCTTAATGCCGACATGGAAAGCTCATCTAGCCACGTTTAGGGCGTTGTCAGATGTACGTCCCTGATGTGGGAGCCTCCTGAATTGCAGTTCCCGACAGCCCTAGCTTGCAAACCTTACAGAAGCCAACCCCATAAACTCTGCCAGACCTGCAACTCCAGAAAAAGACAAAATACAGGCAGGAAGGCACGCTAGGTATTACTCACTTCCTCCAAGGCATCGACAAAGAACTACTGCTTCACAGCCCAGCCCGACACATTCAGCATCTCCAGCGCATCAAACCCCCTCAAAACCGTACAGAGGAGCAAGCAGAAGCAGCAGACAAATTCACTGTCATGAGATATTCACAAGCTGCCGCATACATAAACAAAACAAAACTGCTATCCAGTGATACAGGAGCAAAATCTCTTCAAGCTCTTGATGCCATTGGAATCATTAAAAGCTTTACCACTCCACACATTTAAAAAAAAAAAAAAAAAAAAAAATTCTGTGCAAAATAAACCTGAAAACATTCAGTAATATATATATACATTTAATGAAAAGTTGCTGTACTGTTAATCTTATACCGAAAAGAAGCTTATAAGCAGGAGGGAGAACAACTTTTTACAAGATCTGATGGTGATAGGTGAAGGGGGAATGGTTTTAAACTAAAAGAGAATAGATTTCAGTTAGATTTTAGGAAGAAATACTTTACTCAGAAGGCAGTGAGGCACTGGCACAGTTGCCCAGAACTGTGGATACCCCACATTCTTGAGGGTGTGCCAGGCCAGGCTGGATGGCACCTGGCAGTCTGAGCTGGTTGGGGTCAGCCTTGCCCACAGCAAGGGGTTGGAAATGGTCCCTTTCAACCCAAGGCATTCTGTGATTTCATTACATTCTTTTAAAAATATTTTGTGCCCCTCAGAAATGAAGAGCTTTTAAAAATACAGCTTTCAGATTGGTAATATTGATAGGTACCCACAAAAAAAAATTATAGACCATTTTTTTCCACTAATACTGCACCCAAGCATTTTATTATCAGACGTTTCCAGAAGCTGAGGTGTTTATAATACACATGAGCCAGAGGCATATCTATATTTCATAAATGGATTAATTCACTGAATGGAGTAGTAACATTTTCTGACAGTGGAGTTAACTAACTACAAATGGCAGACTGCTGAGAAAGAAATGCCCATTTTCAGGCTCATTTTAGAGGAAAAACACACCTTTATGCCTTTTCCTTCATAAAATTGAAATTAAAAAATGACTAGGACAAGCACAGATCTGCACCCCTACTGAAAATCCCAGCTGACCAAGAGCCAGTCACAGCTAGTTGACTGGGTAATTTTTTTTAATTTTTTTTTTTAAACACAGAAAGGAAAGAGAGTCTGACAGGCAGTTCCTATAAATATAGCCCATTTATTAGCCTCAGTATCAGTAGGATGAAGACTTTGACTTCTTACTATAACACAGATTGTGAGAACTCCTAACTGTTACTGAGATACAAGCTCCCTGCCCTTGCTTCTAGAGCAACTGCAGCAGAGCTCCACTAAAGCCACAGCTGGAGAGCTGACTCTCCCCAGTACTGCAACCAGTGACCATAAGGGGGTCAAATACAGAGTTGCATGGATGAAGCACTGAAAAATAAACTTCACCATATGATTAAAACTATTTTTTGGCTTTTTAGCTACTGAAAAACCCAAGAGACTCAGCTGCAGTGGGTTTCTCACCTTCAGCTTCTACAATGCTTATTAAGATAGTACGACATTATCTTCTGTGTGCACACAAAGTTGAGGCTTATCCAAATAATGGTTTAAAAGCAAGCTCCAGAACACACTGGCTACAATCAGAGGGGTCAACCACCAGTCATACAGCAAATATCACTCCTAGTTACAAGTCACCTGTTCTACACCTGTCATTGAACAGATGCTCTGGAAAACCTTCTGATTTAATGTTTGTGTGTGAATATATGTGTGTGAATATATGTGTGTGAATATATGTGTGTGAATATATGTGTGTGTGTGTGTGTGTGTGTACATACTAATGTTGAAAGCCTTGAAACAACTTTTGTGAACTTTCTCCCTTTTGCTTTGTTTCTCTGCTGTAAGAGTGCCAGTGAAACAGTACTGGACCGTTAATTCTTTGAAGTATGTGTTTCATTCCTTCTCTCCAACACTAAATACTTTTTTTCTTCTTTACATTCAATGTGTCCTCCAACGCACGCACACACACACAGGTACATCCTACCCCCAATCATTCTAGAGCTAACATCAAGAAAGAAAGGCACAACAGAAACTGCAAAAGGTACATTAGTTCACATTCCACTAATATCTTTAGCTTTTTTCTAATTTAAATTACAAGTTTTTAAGTAATTTATCAGTCATGGGCTCAAGAGCTATCACTGTAGAATTCAGTGTCTTTCACAGCATGCCACAGATTAAAACATGCAAATATTGAGAGATGTGGGGTAGGAGAGCACTCTATTTTAGCACACTCACAGAACAGCAAAATTGCTTCTCTGTGTATGGGGAAATGCAAACTCAAAGCCATCTCAAGCTACTATCACTCAGAAAACAGATGCTGAGACTTATTACAAGGAACTATATGTGCCCTTTGCTTAGCAGTAAAAGAGAAGTGTTAGGAGGTATTCAGGAAGGATAAGGAACGAGCCAGCAGATTACTGTGCTATTTTATAGACTTACATTGTGCCAGCCTTTTCAACACCACGTGCAGTTCTAATTTCTCCAATTCCAAAAAGAGAGAATAGAAAGCTGCATAGAAAAGCATAACAAGGATGCTCAAGAGGTGGATTTCACTAAATTGACTAGGGATCTTCGACATGGCCAAGAGACAACCAAGGAACATAATACAGTTCTACAAAGCCACAGAAGTATCATGGAGAGAACTAGGGAATAGCTATACAACCCTTTTTCTAACTGGACTAGATGGACCTGGCAAATAGCAAGCTCAGAAGAGCTACTTCTGCACACATGTAACTACAGTGGGGAGTTCAGTGTCATATGAAATTGCAGCCATCAAGAAGTTTGTAGCTGAACAGAAGAAATTCCCATCTAAAATTATTATAATGCAAAGATCACTCTAATTTAAATTCTGCAGCAACATTCAGCGTAGGCTGTGAGAGCATACCAGAAGTACCATCATACCTATGCATGCCCTGTTTTTGCCTATTTCCCTTTGCAAATGCCCACTACCAGAGACTGAACATTGCTCACAACTCTTCAGTCTGACTGTACAAACACTGTGCCACTGCAATGTGCTGGACATGCTCAGTGGTTCCTTTCATCCCAAATCCTCCCCACTTCTTGCAGAACTGTACATGCCAATGTTCCTCTTCCTTCAGATTCCCTCTAATCACATATTCCTCATCCCACTATACAGATCTAACAAATCACAGATTTCTTATACAAATAGCTCATAAGCTTATAAAGGGTGAGGGAGCTATGGGAACAAACCACCCAATCTGAAGAAAAGTGTTGCTTTACTATTGCTGTGCGTACAAAAATGAATTCGACTACAACTGCTTTTCTGGTCCTCTTTCTCTTACCTACCATCTGGTGCTTTAAGGCATCAGATGTTACCCTTGGGTCAGCATCTGGCAAAGCTTCAAGGAAAGAAAAAACATTAAGTGAAAGCACTTGCCCCTTCCTCTCCAGTATTATTCAATATTGGACAGAGGGGCTGAATTAAACAGATTCCATCCCATCCAAGTACTCTTTCCTCACGAGGACTTAGAGTCATGCAGAGAGCTTTCCTCCTAGGCATCTGAATTGAAGCATCTTAAAGTCACTGCAGGACAGCAGTGCTGTCCTGTTCACTCACGCAGGGGGAGGCAGCCAAGTGCTGAAGCTGCAATTTGTGAAATAGAGCTATATGCTGCATCAATGCAGAACAAACAGCTTGATGTAAGTCTTCCTCCATTCTAAATACTGACCAGACCTGCCTATCACTTCCCTGTACAGTAGCATCCA